AAGAATAAGTCGACAACTAGATTTTTACATTTTCTAAAGAAAATAAGAGAGCCACCATGTGCAAAACTCACTGTCATAAAGTCTATTAAAAAGTCTATTAAAAATATTTTTGTTAATTGGAAAAAAGCGTTAAATTACTTTAAATTTAAATTGCATTAAAATAGAACATAAATATTAGATAACTTTAAGAAAAATGTAAAAACGTTTGTAAAAACAACAACAAAAAAAGCCGAAATTTGAAGTGTTGCCTTGGCAACTAATTGAAATAAAGTTGATGCACTAAAATCACGAAAACTAAAACTGATAAATAAAATAACAAAAATATAAATAAAAGAATAAAATAAAAATTATATAAATTATACAATAAAAATTAATCAAAGCTAAAATATAAAGACAAACTAATAAAAAATAAAATACAATATAAATATTAGATAAAACATGAAAAATGTGTGAAAATTTGGAATGTTGTCTTGGTAACTAACTGACATAAAAGTACTAAAATTACTAATAGCAAACTGAAATAAAAATAAATGAAAGCTAAGATATAAAAAAACTAATAAAAACATATAAAAATGTATGCTTTTAAGTCATAAAAAAGTCATAAAACTATTAAAAATGGTTATCCTTAATTGAAAAGGTTGAAAAAATACAAAAAGATAACTAAGAAAAATGTTAAAAAGAGCAAAAATTAGAAATGTTGACGTGGCAACTAACTGAATTCAAAGCTGAAGTACTAGAATTACTAAAACTGAAATAAAAATAAATTAAAGCTAAAATATTCAACAAAAAATAGAATGAAAGTGTATATAGAGCATATGAAAAAATTCTAAAACATAAACCTGAAGTAGTAAAAATAAAAGCTAATTCAAAACATTAATATACACTATAATACTGTAGTGTACAAATAATGCTAAAATACCACTGCAGACGGTGCATATACAGCTCAACCTCAAACACACAGACACAAGCTGAGGCTGTTCACACAAACGCTGTGACTGACGTCTGAGAACAGAACAGGGCCGAGGGAAGCTTTGCTTCATCAGACTCACTCTCAGTAATAAAGTCCTGCTCTGTTCCCTCTCTCAGGAAACGCTCGCTGTCTCTATATTGGGTTGAGGGACGTTTCATGAGAACCGCTGTGGTCTCCAGAATGGGCAACGGTGCCATCAATCTCATTTGAACATTCAGTGGAAACCGCCAAATAACTCAGGAAATCATTCATCACAGCCGCCGAGAAAACACAGCCCAAAAGGTACGTGTTTGAAATGGAAACAGACGACAACCTAAGAAATACAGCTAGTTTCTTTAGTAGCTTTAAAGTGCACACTGTAAAAAATATCCTGTTCAATTTATGGTAAAGAAACAGCAGATGGGTGCCAGAAATTCAATGTGACGGTGACAATGCTTTGGATATTATGAGATGGCATATTCGTGCCTGTATATTTTACAACCATTATTACAAGCCATATATTGCATTAAATGATTTAATGTTAATATACCAACATATATTTTTTACCTTAATATGTACTGATAATTATCATGATAATAATACAAGTGGTAAATTAGAAAACCACTTGATAAATCAGTCCATAAAACTTGGCCAATAATCGCACATAGATGGTGCACAGACACACAAACACAAAAGACCAGGTTAACACACACGACAAAAATAAAGTAATGCAATAAACATTAATTAAACAACAGAAAAGGCAACACAAAACAACCTAGTTTACAACGGTTACAGTATTTTTCTGTAAATATTACAAAGAGTTTTTATTATGAATCCTATTTTCCATTAAGTAATCCTGTATTTAATTCCCGTAATTCACTGTAGTTTTACTGTATATTTTAAGAATTGTTTTTTCATTACTGACCTTTTACTGTTTTTCACCATTATTTATAGTCATTCATATTTTTTACAAACAAAAAAACATGCATTTGACATTGTTTTACTCTAAAATTACACGTAATGTGCACTGTAAAAATAAATGAAATTTTTTGGAGTATGTTTTACAAGAAAATACTATTTCAGTAAATGGACTAGTCTGAATGTCACTAGTCAGAAGTCTGGCTAATGAGACGCTCAGAGACAAAGGTGATCGTGTTCGTCTAATACTGAGATAAAGCTTTTGTCTGAAGTGTGACTACTAAATACAGGGAGCTTGAGTAAAATCTATGCGATCAAAAACAACATGTTTCACTCTCACAAAAATCTCAAGTGTGGAGGAATAGGGGGCCCATAACAGGTCCTTTGCGGTCTATGTGAAGAATGGAGCAGTACATGAAGAAAACTAGTCAGCTCAGTTTGAGAATGAGAAATGACATTGGGTGGAGAGGTTTTGTTGGACTTCAAATATTGAGCAATTATGTTCTCCTCCCAACTTTAGTCCATATGAAAGGCATCTGGGGCTTTGTGACAACTCCCAGCGTTCAGCACTCATAACAGCTGAGACTATGTTTTGAGTTACACCCATATTGGAGAAAAAATAGGATTCAATCCATTAGTGACGCAATAAAGAGCATGTTGAGTCTTGAGCTATTTTCCAGGTGACCAATTCAAACAAGCATGGTTACTCCAACAGTAAACTGATTAATAAAATACAGCACCACTTCAAAAGGAAGAAAAGCCTTTGTAGATCTTTACAAATTCTAATTAGCTGCTCAAGATTTGACCTTGACCTCTGTAAACATGAACATGCACTTGCAGGTTGGTGTTTGTCTCTAACTAATAGGAGTCACCCTGTTTCTTCTTTGAAGAGAATATTAATGAACTTTTTTTTCATATTACACAGCACATGCACTACGATATGATTAATACAATAGGCTAATACACACTGTTTTACATCAGCAGTGTTGTTACTGTTAACTAAAACTATTACATAAATATAATATAAAAATATAAAATAAAGCATATTTATATTAAAATCATGAACTAAACGTGAACTAAAATAAAAAAAACTGAAAATATTCAAAAAATCAAAATAGCAAAAAATACAATATAATTTATACTAAAATACACTGTACACCACCAGTAAGACACCAGTTCAGTAAATTATTACATTTATTTATTTGTTGTTATTGTTTTAATGTTGTTTGTTGTTATTATTTTAATATTACTATTACTATTATATTTAATAATAATAACACCAAGTAACATTACAAGTTCATTAGCAACTGTAGGCTGCAACTTGATGCATTAATAGAATATTTGACTATAATGTGCAGTCACAGGTGTGTTTACACTGGTTTCGAATGCAACTTATCCAATCAGAATTTAGGAAAATATCAGTTTTATAAAAAAAATTATACAGAACAGTGACTTTTTGATAAAAAAAAAGCATATTGCTGTCAAACTTTTTTTCCTTTCATAATTGCCAAGCAAAAAAAAAAAGAACCTTTACTCACTTTGAAAAGAACATGGTCCTGTTCAGACATGCAGATGTCGTCAGAGGGCGAAACTCCCCACAAGCGAATCCCTCATTCATCGCTGATCTCTCCCGGCAGTGAGTCACATGAAATCACGCACAGTCATCGTGTCTTTGTTCACGCTTAATCCAACTCACATCCATTGAAACTATACGACTGAGACCAGGAGTCCCCCTTCCACAGGCAACACCCCCACCTCCCGGGCAGCCTGTAATCATATCCAGATGTACAGCAGCGTCCAGCGAGGACAAATACAGCCGCAGTACTGCTGGACCTGATGAAGACCACTGACTGCAGCACTTACTGACTGCAGGACATTTACATGAAACTTGCCCATATATCCAACTCACCTCCATTGAAACTATCCATATATATATATATATTGATTAGTTAAAGCATTAGTTCAGCCAAAAATGAAAATAATTCTCGTAGCTTCATAACATTACTGTTGAACCACTGATGTCACAGACTATTTTAATGAAGTTCTGGGTTTGGAACGACATGAGGGTGAGTAATTAATGTAATTAATTAATGACAGAATTTTCATTTTTGGGTGAACTATCCCTTTAAGTAAAAAGGGTTGGTAAGATTTTATACATTTTTTAAAAGAAATCTCTTCTGCTCACCAAGGCTGCATTTATTCGATCCAAAATAGAGTAAAAACAGAAAATATTGTTAAATATTACTACATTCTAGTTGAATATACTGTAACATGTAATGTATTGCTGTGATCTGCAGCTGAATTTTCAGCATCATTACTCCAGTCTTCAGTGTCACATTATCCTTCAGAAATCATTCTAATATGCTGATCTGCTGCTCAAAAACATTTCTTATTATTATCAATGTTGAAAACAGTTGTGCTGCTTCATAATTTGTGGAAAGTGACATTTTTTGCATTTTCAGAATTCGGTGATTAATAGAATGTTGAAAAGCACAGCATTCATTTGCAATAGAACTCTTTTGAAACATAATAAATGTCTTTACTGTCACTTTTGATCAATTTAATGCATCCTTGCTGAATAAAAGTAAGAATTTACAAAAAAAAAAATCATACCAACAGCATGTCAAATTTCTAACTCATGGACAGAATATGGCCAACGTCATATTCAAATTGTTGCAAAATTTCTAGTTGTAGATTGATCTAGATTGATCTAAACCACAGACCAGAGTCCTGTTCTAGGAACATGACTGACCTGGTTATTTAGATGAGTTATGGATATTTTCCTACCATAGAAAAACATTTCTTATCCCTCAGTTTGTAAAATCAAACAGAAAAAAGCATGACATTCACTCATATCTAACAGCTGCAGTGAGGTGTGCTGCTCCATAGACTTCCACTGTCAGCATGTTTTACAACAGTTGCTATGTAAAGTTGAATCTAACCCCATTTGGAACATTTAATCATGTTGTTTGTGCAAAATATATGATGTCTCAAATATATTAACTAGCCTATTCCAGTAGATATTTATGCCAAGTCACACTAAATCCAAACAAGCAACGTTCAAGAACAAGACCCAAATCACTCCGTGCACAAAAACAGTGATCTGTGCAATACTGGTCTCTGAGCTGCTTACCATGGCGGAGGAGTTGCGTCGCGAGCCGACAGGTGTGGTGGGGAGGGAGTTGAGAGATGAGCTGACGTTGAGCTCCTCTGAGCTCAGGTTATCAGAACCATCACTCAAACCGCTGCTGATGGAGCTGCTCTCGTCCCAACTGCACACACACAGAGAAGAGATGAAGACGGTTAGAAGAAACAAGGAAAGCCTGAATCATGCAAGAAAGAAGTAAATAACAGTACCACACCCAGGACATACTTTATTGCTCAGAGTTTGCACTTCCAGCGCTCTTAATATTAGTTATGATTCATTGAAGAATCAAGTTTGTTTCAGGTGTCTCTTCTCAAATTCCTTTGGAGGAATAACAATGAGACACAAATGAATCAATAGAAAGATTAGATCTGGACTGAAGAAATTAGCGAGTTTACCCTCACTTTTGATTTCTATGGAAGTTCATTACCGTCAGCAAATAAAAATATTACAAACGTAATTGCGATATTTTTTTTAAATCTCACAATTCTGACTTTTTTCTCATAACTGCACGTTTATATCTCATAAGTCATGTTTTTTTTCCTCAGAATTACACGTTTTTATCTCAGAATTGCAAGTTATAAAAAACATAATTTTGAGTTTACATCTCACAGTTCTGACTTTTTTCTCATTATTGCAAGTTTACAACTCGCAATTTTGACTTTTTTTATCAGATTTCTGAGTTTTTTTTGTTTCCACTGCTGAATTAAAAAAACAAAAACAAAACGTAATTGCAACTTTTTATCTCACAAATCAGATTTGTCTTCTCAGAATTGAGTTTATATCTCGCAATTGCAAGTTCTAAACTCATAATCATAAGTTTACATCTCACTCTCGGAATTCTGAGTTTAAATCTCACAATTCTGCTTTTGATTGCCACAGAAGTTTTTCAAAAATTGTAATTACGACTTTTTACCTCACAATTCTGACATTTTGTTTTCTGTCAACTGTGACTTATATTTCACAATTCTGACTTTTCTTCTCAGAATTGCAAGTTTATATCTCAATTCTTCTTAGAACTGTAAGGAAAAAAGTCAGAAGTGTAGATAAAAAGTGACTAATATTTGTTTAATTTTTGTATTCCATGCTGGAATTAAGCTTCCCTAGATTTCAGAGCAAACCTCTTCTGAAACTGAAATCCTTTTCTCAGGAGAAAGATCTGAGTAGCATTATTTGATCTCAATTTCATCTCAGCATTGTCAAGGAGAAATAACTGAGATGGTATAGAGAGAAATCATTTGTTACTTTCATGCTCCATTACCTGACCCAGGATCTCGTAATGGCACAGATGTCTTCACCATATGACCACACAAGCTCGGTTCTGGCTCTGGAGCAGGCTTGCGTTTACTTCCCAAAAAACATTGGAAGGGATGTAGATGCAAAACAGAATGATGGGTAGCGACCGGAGAGGTTTAAAATAACTGTATTGTTCTTAAGGTCAGTGAGTTTATGAATGGCAAAGCATCAGTGCAGTAACTACGAATGGGTTTTTCTGGCAAACGCTACGGCTTTGGGGTTTGCCCATCTGTTGTGAAAGAGGGAAAGCCACACTATAGGATCATAATGATTCATCTTCAGTCTTGCATGACAAAGATGTGATTTAGGCCTGAAACATTCATATTTATGTGAACGCAAATGCTGTGCAAGATCTGCACATTTAAAAACTTTCCTCTCCAAACTGTCCTCTTTATGGCATTGTGTTTCTGTTTATTACGACTTTAACTCAATGACACATTGAGAAGCTGTACAATACAATATGTAAAATAAAGATGAAAAAATGGAAGAAAAAAAAAAAAAGATTGGGAATAATTATATTCTTAATAACTAAAAACATAAGTGAAGTAAATGGACATTTAACTTTTGCAAAATAAAAAAAGTAAAAAAAACCCAACAAAAATAGATACATAAATGCATAAATAAAATTCTTTAAAAAACTGTAAAGTAAATGGGTGTTTAACTTTCACAAAATAAAAAATGAAAAAGAAAAAAAAAAGGATGTTATAATGACATTGTTGATAAAAAATAAGATGTAGTAAACAGATGAGGAACTAACTCAAAATAAAAGTTTAGAAAAAAAGATTATGAATGATTTTAACCTTAATTAAAACTAAAAAGATGAAGAGGAAGTGAACAGAAAAATAAATAAAAACTATTAAAATGGTAACTTAATTCAAACATTACAGTTTTTATTGTTCAGTAATTTTATAATTCTTGCATTTAAGTTTTTTTTTTAAATGAAACAAGAAAAATACTGAAGGAGATGATTGTCTTTTGCTCATCTCAAGAACCCTATACAGTGATTTTGGACCAGAAGAAGGTTCTTTCTGAACCGAAGGTGCTTCAAAGAGCCACTGAAGAACCTTTAAGCAAATGACACACGTGGGATGTTAGAAATGAACCTGAGTCATGATCACTGTAGATCTCTGTCCGTCTGTCTCTATCTGCAAAGTACTTTGTGGTTTCCGACTCAGCAAAAGATGGAAAAGGGAATTATGGGTGCCAAAGGATCAGAGGTCAAAAATGGCTTGTTGGTGTTCAGAAGAACAACTTAAGGAGCCAGCAATTTGTGCTAATTACAGGTTGTGTGGCACAGAGGGGAGAGAATGGACTTGCCTACATGTCTCAACGGTTAGAGACGACTCCCGCAAAGACATTTCTTAATGCTTTTCTTTTCCACATCAGTTTCTATTTCCACCCGTTTGAAATGTAATGGTGGCGCACTGGAGCCAAAAGTCGGCCTAAGTCTGTGTCAGCTAGTTTTATTCTCATTTGAATGGAAATTGTGATTACCATGCTGAGATATTGCATAATGAGAAGACCAAAGAATAAGTCGACAACTAGATTTTTACATTTTCTAAAGAAAATAAGAGAGCCACCATGTGCAAAACTCACTGTCATAAAGTCTATTAAAAAGTCTATTAAAAATATTTTTGTTAATTGGAAAAAAGCGTTAAATTACTTTAAATTTAAATTGCATTAAAATAGAACATAAATATTAGATAACTTTAAGAAAAATGTAAAAACGTTTGTAAAAACAACAACAAAAAAAGCCGAAATTTGAAGTGTTGCCTTGGCAACTAATTGAAATAAAGTTGATGCACTAAAATCACGAAAACTAAAACTGATAAATAAAATAACAAAAATATAAATAAAAGAATAAAATAAAAATTATATAAATTATACAATAAAAATTAATCAAAGCTAAAATATAAAGACAAACTAATAAAAAATAAAATACAATATAAATATTAGATAAAACATGAAAAATGTGTGAAAATTTGGAATGTTGTCTTGGTAACTAACTGACATAAAAGTACTAAAATTACTAATAGCAAACTGAAATAAAAATAAATGAAAGCTAAGATATAAAAAAACTAATAAAAACATATAAAAATGTATGCTTTTAAGTCATAAAAAAGTCATAAAACTATTAAAAATGGTTATCCTTAATTGAAAAGGTTGAAAAAATACAAAAAGATAACTAAGAAAAATGTTAAAAAGAGCAAAAATTAGAAATGTTGACGTGGCAACTAACTGAATTCAAAGCTGAAGTACTAGAATTACTAAAACTGAAATAAAAATAAATTAAAGCTAAAATATTCAACAAAAAATAGAATGAAAGTGTATATAGAGCATATGAAAAAATTCTAAAACATAAACCTGAAGTAGTAAAAATAAAAGCTAATTCAAAACATTAATATACACTATAATACTGTAGTGTACAAATAATGCTAAAATACCACTGCAGACGGTGCATATACAGCTCAACCTCAAACACACAGACACAAGCTGAGGCTGTTCACACAAACGCTGTGACTGACGTCTGAGAACAGAACAGGGCCGAGGGAAGCTTTGCTTCATCAGACTCACTCTCAGTAATAAAGTCCTGCTCTGTTCCCTCTCTCAGGAAACGCTCGCTGTCTCTATATTGGGTTGAGGGACGTTTCATGAGAACCGCTGTGGTCTCCAGAATGGGCAACGGTGCCATCAATCTCATTTGAACATTCAGTGGAAACCGCCAAATAACTCAGGAAATCATTCATCACAGCCGCCGAGAAAACACAGCCCAAAAGGTACGTGTTTGAAATGGAAACAGACGACAACCTAAGAAATACAGCTAGTTTCTTTAGTAGCTTTAAAGTGCACACTGTAAAAAATATCCTGTTCAATTTATGGTAAAGAAACAGCAGATGGGTGCCAGAAATTCAATGTGACGGTGACAATGCTTTGGATATTATGAGATGGCATATTCGTGCCTGTATATTTTACAACCATTATTACAAGCCATATATTGCATTAAATGATTTAATGTTAATATACCAACATATATTTTTTACCTTAATATGTACTGATAATTATCATGATAATAATACAAGTGGTAAATTAGAAAACCACTTGATAAATCAGTCCATAAAACTTGGCCAATAATCGCACATAGATGGTGCACAGACACACAAACACAAAAGACCAGGTTAACACACACGACAAAAATAAAGTAATGCAATAAACATTAATTAAACAACAGAAAAGGCAACACAAAACAACCTAGTTTACAACGGTTACAGTATTTTTCTGTAAATATTACAAAGAGTTTTTATTATGAATCCTATTTTCCATTAAGTAATCCTGTATTTAATTCCCGTAATTCACTGTAGTTTTACTGTATATTTTAAGAATTGTTTTTTCATTACTGACCTTTTACTGTTTTTCACCATTATTTATAGTCATTCATATTTTTTACAAACAAAAAAACATGCATTTGACATTGTTTTACTCTAAAATTACACGTAATGTGCACTGTAAAAATAAATGAAATTTTTTGGAGTATGTTTTACAAGAAAATACTATTTCAGTAAATGGACTAGTCTGAATGTCACTAGTCAGAAGTCTGGCTAATGAGACGCTCAGAGACAAAGGTGATCGTGTTCGTCTAATACTGAGATAAAGCTTTTGTCTGAAGTGTGACTACTAAATACAGGGAGCTTGAGTAAAATCTATGCGATCAAAAACAACATGTTTCACTCTCACAAAAATCTCAAGTGTGGAGGAATAGGGGGCCCATAACAGGTCCTTTGCGGTCTATGTGAAGAATGGAGCAGTACATGAAGAAAACTAGTCAGCTCAGTT